AACTGCCACACACACACAAAAATGAAGCAATTTTTAAAAAATGGATTTTCTATCTGTGCTTTTAAACTTTGTTTTGTTTTATTTAAGTGTATGCTTTGTTCAGATATATTTACATTTGTTGCAGGAGAGAAGGGGAAGGGATGATGAAAGAACTTTTCATTAAAATAGATTAATGAGCCATCAACAGATGATTGGGTAAAGAAGATGTGGTACAAGTATACAATGGAATACTACTCAGCCATAAAAATAAAAAAATAAAAACACAAAATCTTGCCATTTGTGACAACATGGATGAATCTTGAAGATATTATCCTAATTGAAATAAGTCAGAAGGAAAATAGCAAAAATTATATGGTTTCATTTATGTAGAATATAAAACAAAAAAGTAACAAAGAATTAAAAAAACAAAAAAACTCATAGACACAACAACAGAATGGTGGTTACCAGAGTTGGGGATGAGGGGGGTGCAGCAAATTGCATAAAGCAGATCAAATATTTTTAAAAATAGATTAATAAAGAAATCAATTATGGAAGGGGGGACTCTTATCTTAAGGGCTAGGAAGGAACAATAGAAGTATCTTAAAGAAATACTCAGTTGGAGAATTATTTTTGTTTTGTCAATGGAAGAGGTAGCCAAGAGGTCATGCTGGCCCTTATACAGTGAACATCACCACAATTTCCCTTCAAGCATCATTTTTCAAGTATCCCAAGCTACAAATATTGGGTTTGCCTCCGATCTCCTCACCTTCACATTCTGTCATTAAAACCACTAAAAATTACCTTGAAAATGTCTTTCAAGTTCAGCTCTTTTTCTCTATCCCATTGATACAGGCTCAGGCACTGGTCCTCATCGCAATGGGCTGTACAACAGCCCGAATGGGCACACTTGCCAGTGGTCTGTCACTGTGCCAACACATCCATGGCTGCCCTCAGACGTCCCTCTCATGCACTACTTCCGCATACCACTTATGCTTTCACATGGCTCCGCTCACCTCTGAAGTCTCTCTTGTCAATCCCCTTACAACACACACTCACGCTTCAGGCACAATTAGAAAGTTATGGGCTCTGAAGCTCAGAGGAACAATCTAACACAACTAAAAGTTTATAAATATAGTACTTAACTTATACTTAATTGCTTCTATTACACCACCTAATTCTCCCCATTGCCCTCCCCGTCCCTTCAGGATCCTGTTGTTCATTCCTCCGGTGCAGGGAGTGCTGGCTCACAGCTGGCTCCCTCTGCAAAGGAGCTTCCCCACCCCAGCTCACATCCCCTCTCAGCCAGCAGCCCATATTCAATGACTGACTGCAGCAGGACACGAAGCCCAGACTCCTTTTCTTGATGGGGGAATAACACGGAAGGGCGATCTCAGTTGCTGAGCTTCCTGTGGGCTCGCTGTGTCCTCTGTTGTTACTAAGTTGTAGTTTGACTGCTCCCTCTGCCCAAATCTGCTTCCCTTACTTCCAGCATGGAACTCACCCTCAAGGTCTCTCTAGGAAGCCTCACAGAAACCAGTCTGATCTCTTTAAATTGTAGTTGAAAGATTACTATTTTATATATTGACTCGACTTTTAATTCATATTCATGCTTAACCACTTAAACTTAAAAAAAAAAAATACTGTTTCTTCAGAAAGTTAATTGAGTGGGAAGGACATCTATAGCTTCTCTTTTTAATCTCTTCATTCTTATCCATCTCCATTATCATATATTGCCTAAAACATCGGAGCCAGAACTCTGATTGAAACTTGATGCTGTTGTTTACTAGCTATGGAACTTCAGTAGGTTACATAACCCCTCTTTAGCACAGTTTTCTCCTTTATAAAGTGGGGATAATAATAAAAATGTTACTCAATGTTATGAAGATTAAATAAGTTATATATAAAACACTAAGAATGGTGCCTAGCTAAAAATGAGTGCTTAAATTCATCAGGATCAAGATAACACTAGCTGCTATAACAAATAGACCTACCGTGTTTCCCCAAAAATAAGACATCCTTCGAAAATAAGACCTATTTACAGGTTTCCTTCTGAATGAAATATAAGTCATCCCCCCAAAAATAAGGCCCGCCCTAGGCTAAACTTGAGAGATTTGGTCCACTGATTCTGAAAGAAATGGAGTCACAAGAAATTCACCAGGAAATTCAGGAATTGGATTGTTATGATGATGTTCCAGAAGATGATGACATGATTGTCATTGAATAAATGAGTAAATTCTTGACACTGTAGGATTGACAGTTTGTCTGGTTTGTGTTGACAACTACCGTACTAACGTACCATATACAGGTAATAAGTTTCCTTTATTTTCATTTAACAATAAATGTGTACCATATTCTTCTTCATGGAAAAATAAGACATCCCCTGAAAATAAGACCTAGCTCATCTTTGGGAGCAAAAATTAATATAAGACACTGTCTTATTTTCAGGGAAACAGGGTGCCATTATCCAATGCCTCAAACACAATAGACAGGAACACCTGGTAAACTGTGGCAATTTTTCTTTTCATGGTTCTGAAAGTATCTAGGTTAATGAATTCCCAGTTATCTCTAGTATATGTCTTCTCCATGCTAATCAGTTAGGAGAAGGAAAAAATAGAGAATGTGTATGGGGATTTCTAAGGGGCAGGCCTGGAATTGGAGCTCATTATAACTCACATTCCATGGCACATTTAATTGCAAAGGATGCTGAGAAATGTAGTCTAGGAAACAGATTTTAGTAACTAGCTAGATGTGCAGCAAGTTTTGCTAAATTAATTATTATTATTATCTGGAAATATCCCATGTCTCTCCATTTAGGTATAATATTTAGAAAGATTAATATAAGCTTTCAGAGGGAAACATCTGTGCTTTTCTTATTCATGTCTGCTTGTAACCACAGCTCTGGGAACAGTAGCTGGCAGATATAAGTGCTTATTAAATAACTGCTAAATGGAAAAAATTATAACAATTATTATTACTCCCTTGGATGCTGTTTTTTAGTAGTTAAAGCATTGTCTGTACACTGAAGGGTCATGGGTTTAATTCCCGATCAAAGCACATACCCAGGTTGCAGGGTTTGATCTCTGGTCAGGGCATGCATGGGAGGCAACATCTCTCACATTAATGTTTCTTTCTCTCTCCGTCTCTGTTCCTCTCTCTCTAGAACAATGCAAAAACAAAAACAAAACAAAACAAAACCAACATGTTCTTGAGTGAGGATTAAAAATTAATAATAAAAAATTAATAATAAAATGAGTGTTATTATCATTACCAACTTTGTAACGTGGGCTCTCATCACCACTCACTTGGAATGTCAGTTAATGCCTCATAAGCCTCCCTGCCTCCTGACTGTTCCCCCAACCCAAACCCTTTCTCCACAGCAAATCCAGAGTTAGTATCCAAAATCCAAGTCTGATCATGTCACTCATCGTCCCCCAACTGCCAGTTAATATCCTCCTGTGGCTCCTCAGGACCCAGTCAACACTCCTGTCTGTTCCTTCATGACTCAGTCACTACACATCCCTTTGGTCTCAGGTCCAGCACTCGCCTCTTACAGCGGGCATTTGTGATTGGACACTGTAGATACTCCAGTGAATATGGCAAACACGACCCTACCCTGCAGAGTTCACATTTTACTGAGGTAGCCAAGAAGCAAGTAAACAAACAAATATGCAATATTAAAGAGTATGGTGAAGAAAAATAAAGGGTAAGGAAATTGAGAGTGGTGAGGTGAATAAATAGATAAATAATACCTTAAATTTTGCCAGCAAGTGACAGTCATTCCACAGAGATACTCTATGGATGTGATCTTCACTATAATTACATCTCCCCTCCCCCGCCCCATAACTGCATATTTCAAATGAATTCTTATCATTGACCTATATTTGTGTTCCTTTGAACTTTGTTTATGGCTGCCACTTAGGGAGGTAATATAAAGCACTAAAGATTGCCTAATGGGCTGTTTGTGTGGGATGTTAAGAGAATATAATATAATTTATTATTGTCCCTCTAGGGAGTAAGAGTACAAAGGTCTCAATTTTCTTTCCACAATCTTCTTTGTAGGAAAATTCAACATAAAAGTATTTAATATAAAACCAGGTTTTACTCAAGTATGGAAAACTATAAAAATGTTATTTTGTTTAATTACCTTAACAACGTTACTGTCACCTTGTGTTGCTTTAAGCCACTAAAACTGTGGCAATTTGTTACAACAGCAATAAGAAACTAATACCTCCTCCCTTAACTTATCAAGGAAGAAGGCAAAAAGAAGTAATGAAGCAAATTAGCATATTCTGCCACAATGTTTCTCTTTTAAAAACTGAAATATATATATATATATATATATTCCAAAGGAAATAGATTAATTATGCCTTATTAGAAATCTTTGCTTGTAAAAATAAAAAGTCAATTCCAATTTTAGCTAACCTAAGTTTTAGAGTAAAGGGAGGAGAGGTTATAACTGCAATATACTTGAATGGTTCACCCAGTGATGAAGCAGTAAAGGATAAATTTTATACCCATAAGACCTATAATCAGGGACTTGTCTAGCATCAGCATTCCTACCCTCAGCTTCCTCACTCCCTCAACACCCCTTCCCCTGTTTCTCTCTCCCTCTCTTTTCCTCTCCCTTCTGCTTTCCTCTGTTTCAGTTCCTTCTCTTCTACTGAAGATGAACTTCATTCACATGATGAGAATCAAGGCAGTGAGCATCTCTGGGTCATTCAGTACAATGTAAAGACTTTCCCCTACTAGTTCATTCATTTGCCATGTGTTTACTGAGCCTCTGCCATGTGCCAGGCTACTGAACAAGACAGACAAGTTCCTGGCCTCATCCTGGTAACTGATACAGATAATAAGCAAATACATAAACAAGATCCTTAGAGCTTGTAACAGGTATGATGATGAAAATGAACAAAGATGAAATACAGATTAAGATGGAAATGATGGGAGAAGGCTGGCACAATGCCCCACGGACAACAGAGACTGCCATGGATGTGAAACCAACACGAGGGAGGCCAGCATACCTGCTGCCAAGTGAGTGGATGGGCACAGGAGGAAATGAGGCTCGGAGCAAGAGTCACAGAGCCTGGTGGCCACATCTTGCTTTTCCTGGGAGTCCCCATTATAACTGTCGTCCCATCATAAACATCAGAGCCATCCCAATATGGACGGCAAACGCTGCATTCACTCTCCCTGTGGGCTATAGAAGTCAGGGTTTCACCCTAAGAGCAATGGAAAGACATTGGAAAGTTTTAAGCAGGGCAATTCATGATCGGATTTGTATTTTAATATCACCAAAAACCAGAGAGTGAGTTAATAAATGCAGTGGAGCACTGACCTTTTTAATTGAAAGAAATTGATATCAAAATGAAATAAAAATAGGTGAAATCTGTGACTTTGCAGAAGCGGCAGGTGCACCCTCATCCTCCCCAGCCAGCACCCAGTACCACTGCTTTGTTTGTTTTTCTTTCCGCTTCCCCTCAACTCAGAGGCTGGGCTGCAGCTCTCTGGGTCTCATGGCAACTTGGCAACACAGTGCTTCTAGGCTAAAATCCCAACTTCCATGGATCCGCGCTGCTTCAACCACAAACATTTACCTTCCCTGGCTCCTGGGGCTCACTGAAGGGAGGGCTCCTTCCTCTGGGCTCTCCCATGAGCGGCCTTCGGGGTCAGAAGCAGCCACAGGACAAGAATGGCAGCCCCATGATTCATCTCCACACCCACACAAGTGTCGTTTACAAATCAGGAAAAGAACTCGTAGTCATGCCCTGCCCTTGCCATCCTCCTACTGGATTTGACGCTGCATCTCTGGATGGCGATTTCTCCTAGACACTGCAGTTATCCTTAGCAGCCTGCCTGTCCTACAGCTGCCTCCGGAGGAGAGGATCTCAGGACCAAACACTAGAGCTTATTATACCGGTTAGGACACAGTGTTTCCTGCCAAGATTTACTTCTATTACCAAAATGGCATGTGCTTACTGTAAAAGCTTCGGGAAGAGACAGCGGGGACTGAAATGTGACTTTCCCCCTTGATGGGAGGCCCTTCCCTGGAACCTCTCTTATCAGTTCTGGCCATTTTCTTATGCAGATATAAGCAAATGGAGAAATATATATGGACACGTAAATAGGTCACCCTAAAGGCTTCCAGGTGGTTTTATGATAACAAGCAAGTTCGGACCTGAGAAACCACGACATGGAGTCGCATCACAGTTCTCCGGCGAGAGCTGAAGGCTCGGCCCTTCCTGCAAAGTGGAAGCGCTGGGTCCGCTCCGGTGATGACTCCCAACAGGGCCCAGACACCAAATTCCATCTCCAGGTCCAGGAGGAAATGGGAACATGCGGTGCGGTTACAGCTCTGAAAACAGACTCCCAGCTGAGTCAAAGAGGAAGACAGATGGAGACAGGGGTTCCAAGCACAGGGTCTGGTCATGAGGGAGAGGAAGCACCGGGTCTAACGTGGTCACGGGGATGAGGGACTATTACAGATGTCCCCATTTTCTCCCCCTCGTACCTCTCCACTCCACTCCTACCCCCTCCTCAGGCCTTCTCTGCACGATTGTCTGTCTTTGGGTTATATGCATATATGTTCTTTGGTTAATCTTTCCTCCCACCCCTTCCCTCTGAGATTAATCAGTCTGTTGCATGCTTTAATATCTCTGGATCATTTTTGTTCATCAGTTTATTTTGTTCATTAGATTCAATATATGAGTGAGATCATGTGATACTTTCCTTTCTCTGACTGGCTTATTTTGGCTAGCATAATACTCTCCAGGTCCCTCCATGTTGCCTCAAAGAGTAAGAGATTCTTCTTTTTTTACAGCTGCATAGTATTCCATTGTGTGCAACTCTGCTTTCTTGATTGAACCCTGACCAACACACTGGATATAGTAGCATGAGTCTTCCCTTCTCGGTCTTCTTCAAACTTTTTTCTCCTTTGTTCTTTCATATAACTTTTTAAATCTTCTTATCAAGTATCAAAAAAAAATCAATTGGGATTCTGGTTGGAATTCTTTTGAAATTATTAATTAATTTGGGGAGAAATTATCTTTTTATAATATTGAGTCTTTTAATAATTATTTAATTATTAGTTAAATGCAAGTTATTTTTATTCTAATATTATATTTAGTAATTTTCTGATCTCTTATATTAGTCCCAATAATTTGTATTTTCTCTTAGATCCTGTTGAAGGTAGTTATTTTTCTGTGAGTAGTGATAGTTTTGTGTTTTTCTTTTCTTTTCCAATTCACATGCCTTTTCTTTTCCTGTCTTATTGCTCTGACTGGGACTTTCAAACAGCAAGTCCATATGGAAATGGTGGTAATTAATTAGCATCTTGTCTTATTCCCGATATTGAAGGGAATAATTCTAAAGTTTCACCAGTAAATATAATGTTTGCTACAATTTTCTAATTGATATATTTTATTTAACTAAGACAATTCCCCCTACAACTCAAAAACAAAGAAATCAAACAGCTTGATTTAAAAATGGGCAAAGACTTCAATAGACATTTCTCAAAAAAAGACAAAGGGCCAACAGGTATATGAAAAGGTGCTCAACATCACTAATCATCAGGGAAATGCAAATAAATAAATAAATAAATAAACAAATAAACAAATAAATACACAATGAGATATCACCTCACACCTATTAGGATGGCTATTAGCAAAAAAAAAAAAAAAAAAAAAAAAAAAAAAAAGTAACAAGTGTTGGCAAGGATGCCAACATTTGTGCACCACTGGGTGCAAATGTAAGATGATACAGCCACTATGGAAAACGCTATGGAGATTCCTCAAAAAATTAAAAATATATGACCTAGCATTCTCCTCTATGTACATCCAAAAGAACTGAAATTAGGATGTTGAAAGGATATCTGTACCTCCATGTTCACTACAGTATTATTCACAATAGCCAACATATGAAACAACCCAAATGTCTATTGACAGATGAATGAGTAAACAAAATGTAGTATAGCCCTAGCTGGTTTGGCTCAGTAGATAGAGCGTTAGCCTGAGAACTGAAAGGCCCCAGGTTCGATTCTGGTAAAGGGCACATGCCAGGGTTATGGGCTCAATCCCCAAGGGAGACTTGCAGGAGGCAGCTGGTCCATGATTCTCTCTCATTATGGATGTTTCTATCTCTCTCTCCCTCTTCCTTCCTCTCTAAAATCAATAAAAATATTTTTAAATAAAAATAGAACTTTATATTACCCTGTTCCCCCAAAAATAAGACAGTGTCTTATATTAATTTTTGCTCCCAAAGATGCGCTAGGTCTTATTTTCCATGAAGAAGAATACGGTACACATTTGTTGTTACCGGTAAATGAAAATAAAGGAAATTTATTACTGTAGTATGGTAGTTGTCAACGCAAACCAGACAAACTGTGAATCCTACAGTATCAAGAATTTACTAATTTATTCAATGACAATCATGTCATCATCTTCTGGAACATCATCATAGCAATCCAATTCCTGAATTTCCTAGTGAATTTCTTGTAACTCCATTTCTTTCAGAATCAGTGGACCAAATCTCTCATGTTTAACCTAGGGGGGGGGGCCTTATTTTGGGGGGGATGCCTTATATTTCACTCAGAAGGAAACCTATAAGTAGGTCTTATTTTCGGAGGATGTCTTATTTTTGGGGAAACAAGGTATTATTCAAACTTTAAAAATAAAAATAAAATAAAATAAAATAAAATAAAAAAAATAAATAAATTTAAAAAAAGAAGAATGAAATCTTATCATTTGTGACAACATAGATGGACCTGGCAGATATATTATGTAAATAAGCCAGACACAGTAGGACAAATTCCCCCTTATATGAGGTATCTTACTTTGTCAAACTTATATAAGCAGAAAATAGAATGGTGGTTGCCACGGGATAGGGAGCAGGGGAAATGGAGAAGCATTCAAAGGCTGTAAAGTTACAGTTATACAAAATAAGTAAGTCCTAGAGATCTGGTGTACAACATAGGGCCTATAGGTAACAATATGGTAGTGTGCACTTAACAATTTGCTGAGAGAAATAATCTCAGGTTGTGTTTTTATCACACACATAACAAAAGGAAGGAAGGGATAAAAGAAGGAAGGAAAGAAGGAAAGAAAGAAAAAGCAAAAAGACCCCAGGAAACTTTTGACGGTGATGTTTATTACCTTAAGTTTGATAATGGTATCATAAGTGAATGCATATTTCTAAAACCATCAAATTGTATACATTCAATACGTGTGGATTTGGTATATTAATTATATTTCAAAAAAACTGCATAAATAAATGTACTAATTAATTAGTCAGTTAATTAATTAAATGCCAGGCTCACATAACAGCGAAAGGATATGCTCTTTCCTTTACAAAGGAGAATTTGGGGAAAGATTTTCATCTCCAAATTGTCCCCTGAAATGGACAACCTACCTTAACTACATCAAATTGTACCCAATATTCAGAATGATCTCATTTTATAAAATAAATGTGTTCCAAATAAAATTGCATCTTAATTATATTTTTTGGTTTTTAAATATGAAAGAGTATTATATTTTAACAAATTATTTTTCTTCCTCTATAAAAATAACTATGTGTTTTTTCTCTTGCAATTTGTTAATGTGGTAAATTATATTGACAGATTTTTCTGATATTATTCAACTACTCATGCTTTTCTGGGATAAATCCACCTTGGTCATAATGTATTATTGTGTTGTTGTTTTTTCTGAGTTATTAACTTTGCTAAATTTTATTGGAATTTATATCTTTATATTTAGAAGTGAGGTTGGTTTACAATTTTTCCAATTATCCTTGTCCTATTCTGGATTCAAGACTAATAAAATTAGTTTGGGAATATTTTTTTTTTCTTTCATTCCCTATTTGCATTCTCTGGAATAGTTCCTAGACAATTTGGCCATATGTTCCTTGGAAATTTGTAAAGACTCACCTATAGGAAACTATGTCTTAATTATAATTTGGGTAGATTTAAGGTATCTCTTGGTCATAGGATTTAGGTCACTTATTTCTTCTTGAATCAGTCAAAATTGAGTATAGTTTTCTGGAAAATTGACCATTTTGTATATTTTAAATTAATTGGCATAAAGTTGTACACGATTACCCCTTGTTGCCTATTTTAATTTTTGGGTGTATTTGTGGTTACGTTGCTTTCTAATTACTAATTTCAATATTGTTTTGGACATCTTTTATATGTAATGCCATGCTGAGACTAACATAAGGAAGACCAGTTTTAGATGGGTTATAGTAGCCAATGTTTACAATAGCCCAGAGTTTGAAGTAGGAATAGA